ATGCAAATCACGGTTTTGAATTATTCAACTGTTGAAGTCACTAGCTTAGCTGGATATTTTTCCACACCAGACCATCACAAGTTAATACCCCTCCAATTCAATGATTCATCGTGCCTCAACCCAACTCAAAGAAATTTTCATTTCCTCTATAAGCCATAATGAAGATCTCCAAGGTGTCTATGGCTCTCGCTTGCCTCCTGGCCCTAGCCCTTGTCATCCCCTCCCATGCCCAAGACTCACCACAAGACTACCTCGACGCCCACAACGCTGCTCGTGCTACCGTCGGTGTGGGCCCCATGTCTTGGAATGATACCGTTGCAGCCTATGCACAGAACTATCTCAGCCAGCACATTGGTGACTGCAAAATGGTGCACTCAGGCGGCCCTTATGGTGAGAACCTTGCATGGAGCAGCGCCGGCTTATCTGGCACGGATGCTGTCGCGATGTGGGTTAATGAGAAGTCCGACTATGACTACAATTCCAATAGTTGCGCCCCAAATAAGGTTTGTGGACACTATACTCAGGTTGTGTGGCGAAACTCAGTCCGCTTGGGGTGTGCTAAGGTGAGTTGCAACAATGGTGGGACTTTGATTAGTTGCAACTATGATCCGCCGGGCAACTACGTTGGCCAGAAACCTTATGATCCGGCGGGCAACTCAGTCCGCTTGCGGTGTACCATAAGTATTTTGCATTAGAGAGTGTCGTACGTGGAATCTAACCCATGTAGTGTGAATAAGTTATGTCCTTAATGCATTGCCTATTTTCAAAAAAAAAAAGAAGAAAAGCTATGTCCTTGATGTATTAATAATTTCTTTATAATAAATGAAAGTTTGTATTTGGACCGAACTTTGAAGTGTTCAAGTTGTGGATTAATTAAAAATGCTAGTCTTTCATGTGAGAATTGGGATTCTATCTTGTCACTAAAACTCCAGATGATCCTTGTTTCGACAGCTTCACAATCCAACACTGTTGAAGTCTTCAGCTGCTTCTACACCTGAAAATCCCGAGGTTGTTTCCTCGGGGAAAACACTCCGACGCTCAAGTCAGCAATACTCAATATTCTAGAGAGAGATGCTCTCAAGGAGTAATTGCAGAGAGAGAAGCGTAGAGATTAATTACCTTCATCGGAGGTAGTTGGGGGGTATTTATAGCCCCTTGGTGCTGGCATACATCTACATGTGTAAGCAGCCCATTGGCCCACGTGGTGCTAGTCACGTGGGTATGTTTGTACCGAAGCTCCTTCAGCTTGGGCCAACAGGTGGTACTCTAGGCCCGTTATGCATAGTCCTGGGGTACTCTAGGCCCGTTATGCATAGTCCTGTTTGGGCGTTGGGCCCGCTGGGCCTATTCCAACATTACTCCCCCCTCAGCGTTCGGTTGACGAACTGGGATGTGTGTTGGGCCTACTCCATTCCAGACGGGTTTAACAGCTTGCAGCCGACCTCGACAAGGGGCGAGCTGAAAGGTAAAACGAAAAGGGGCGGGCTCGCGAGCTTGAGATCGTGTGGGCGAGCTGGTATTCACAGCCACATTAGTGTGGGCCGGTCATGGCGGCGAGCTGAAGTGATTGGCAATAGGCGAGCTCGCTCGGGGACCATCCCTGCATGGAACGCCCGAGCAGCTCGTATTTGTGGCGACCTGAGCTTGAAGCACTACCGAAGTGCGACCAGGAGGTGTGACCTCACCTTTAGGGCGATCTGGGGTAGCCGTTGATTTACGTAAGAGTTTGTGACCCGTGCGAGCTGCAATCCGTGTATCGACCTGTCAAATGTGGCTGCCGCCACAACGTGTGACGAGCTGGGTCTTGGGGGAATTTCAGCAAAAGATCCACACTTTTGAACGAATTGTCACGGGTGGGCCGATCTGACGTAATGTCATGTTTGTAACGACCGGGTAGGTGTGCTCGCTATGGCGAGCTGATGTGGCAGTACAAGGTACACATCAGCATTGACGATCTGAATCTTGGGATTTTTTGAATCAAACAGATCTCTGAGGAGATACGGTTGATCTCCCCGTATCC